TAGAGCATATTCTACCCTCACCCCGTAGTACCCCCGGCACTAACCACAATCCCCCTCCCTAACCCCACATCACCCTTTCCCTGCCTCTTGCACGTACTGCCAGGCGTGCAACACGTGCAGTGGCTCGGAACAGGTACCAGTTGTCTTATACAGTGAACCGCCTATCACATTTGAAACAATGATACCTCGAATTAATACCACAACATGGAATGGATCACAACCCTGCTAGCGCTTAATCCCTCCTCTTTTCCTCTTATCACTTTCACTGATGCATTTGTTTCCACCGTTTGTGGTTCGCCTCTGTTCGAGCCCACTCAATTCATTTCGCTTGCCACCTTCGATATAACCTTTTTTTCGAATAAGTCTTCCCTACGTTGAAGAAATCTTTTTCAACTAAAAATCGTGGGCGGTACGGTTGAAAAACAAAAAGGGGTTTCTGCCACTCGATAAGAAAGAACGAAAGAAACGCCGAAAGCGCCACAAATAACGCTCTATTTGATTATGAGCAGTTTACGAATTCACGAATACACTCAGTGAAAACTCTCAGGAAGTAAAGCGTGACGTTGAGAACCACTGAAGTAGTATGTCCGGGAGACCGCAGGCGTGCCCTAGTGTCGTCCCTATACTTCCACGCGCTTCCGTAACGTGCAGTACTTGCGTCGATGCTAAGCTCTCGCAACGAAACTGGGGTGGAGAACAACTAGAAGACAAAGGACGACCTCGTCTTAGCAAGAACTTGTCGTAGCATGCATCCACCGAGCTTATCCTTATGTGGAATAGCGATCACTTATTTTTTATTGTTAGCCAAATCGGATCACAATCCTATTTGAGGTTCAGGGTTATACTTTATGCAAACCTGATGAGCCAGCTCATGTGCTACAGTTCTCAGAACTGAAAATCGATTCGGCAAAGAATAAAGTTCATCATTATACAGCAGTGCCTGTTCTCTGAAACAAAGTTCTACGTCTACATCTATGGAACAATTGTTCTACTACTGAAACCGTAAGGGTACTAAGTACCTGTAGGTTACCAGTCCCCAATTTTCCATTGCACCAGCTGCGAAGTCGGGCAGTGCAAGCATGTCTACAAAATGCAAATTTTTAAATAATTGATGACTGTTAGAGCAGGGCGTAGGTAGCAGCATCGACCACATACGACTCCATCTCACAAGGGAGGTCGTTCAGGGCGTGGTGAGCTTACGAGGACCTCAAAACTGAGGTTCATTTTCGCTGCGCGCTTCTACGAATAAAAAACGTAAAAAATAGGTCGATGGTTCGGATCCCACCGAGGACAAAATTTTGCTTTTCTACAATTTTTCATTTTTTGGATCCATGTTTGTCTAAATAATTGGTCCTAACAAAAACATTCACGATAAACTGAACAATCCTACTTTTATGGAGCAAAACTGCTTTTTCGTTCGAATTCGTTAGTATGCACAGACTCAGCTCTTCGGCGCTATGCCGGTGCCAGATGGCACTGGAACCGAAAATAAAGTCTAGAATCGTGATCAGGACTGTCGATTACCCCTAGGAGCAAGTTTTGAGCGAAAAATTTTTTTTGACTTTTTCGGGTTGTAGGTGACCGACCATTTGGTCGGCAGTGTGAGCGGAGTCTCACATCTTCGTAACAGCGATGCGTATCGTTGCGTTTATACTTTGCGGCAGCGTAGCGTAGCGCTTTTCATGCTGAGAGTGAGCGCACGCGGTGTGCCGCACACGCGTAAGACATGCATATTCGAGTTTTCTAGGCGCTTGACCAAGCGTCAACAGCGGCACAGGGCTGCCTGGCGATATACGCTAGCTGGCACGCTAGCGTACGCAAGCAGCGTTTTTCACTACTCAGCGCTTACTCCACCCTAGCGTTTTTGCTTAGCGTCGGTTTGCAGCGGGCAGGGAGTAGAGAGTATAGAGGGGAGCTGGGAGGGTACAAAACCCTCGATTGCGCGTCTCTCACCTCTGAGCTCCCCTTAGTTCTCTGTGACACTGCACATCGCGTTTTCTGCGTCTCCGAGCGCGCCACATATCTGCTACGAATGCACATCGCCTCTGCGTCACGCAACGGCCACGATAGTCTCCTACAATACACCGTACACGAGGATGGCCACACGTCGATTCTCGCGGTCTATTGGACGTCCACAGATATACTCCTGCAATAGCTGTCGAATTCACCGCCTGTCTCGAGACCGTGCCTACATGGATACTCTTAAATAGCACATCTGAGTCCGCGTCTCTCACGGCCGCACATTAGTCTCTACTTGCCCTGACCGCTACTAAGGCGCAGAGGACGAAGAACTGCTGTGCGCGGGCCTGCGAGAAACGCTCGAGAAACCGCGGTGAAGCTAGATGAATAGGCTTATGCTCCCGTGCCCTTCGGCGCATACGCCACACGTCGCACCGACCTGGTCGACCGCTCGGAGTGAGAGCGATATGCATCCTCTATGGTGCACGCCTAATACAACGATCATCACTGAGCCACTCTTTGGCAGCCACCAGCAGCTAGGAGCGTGAGTTAAGGAGCTGGAAGCGCTACGTTAGTTGTCATACTACGGCCTGGCCGCAAAGTATAAACTGGCCCGTCCCCTGCCTACTCGTATTGACCGATAAGAGAGCTACGCAGCGCCTGACCCGCCCGGACAACCCAAATATTTATTTCATTGACATAGGTAAGAAGTCGCTGGACGCAGTATATCTGCGCAATTCATAGTAAGACAGTGACAATCGACAAGTACATAAATTGAAATCAGACAATTCCCGTAAGTGTAAATGTAAGAAGTTTAGGATACCTCTGAAGTAACTACCCTGGTGGCCTTTGTACGAAAAGCTCCAGGTGATAATTGGAAAATATCTTCACAAAAAATTTTGTTAAATAAGCGAAGAACTCTGATCGAGAAGATTCGGGAGCGCTGACTTGGTTTGATACACGGAGCCCCTAGCTTGATAGTGCACCCCTCTACGTCCTCAGAGGTACTACAGTAAATAAATTCATACATCCGATTTGAACATTGCTCCTGCCTGTGCTAGTAAGATTTTGAAAGCCATCCCATGAGATTGCATTTGATCACGATCTTCTATCAAGAGACCAAGGATAGGAGGGGCGCTCGCTTGGCACCATAAACGCTGCGCTTTTGCAGGCGCTTTTTGGGAGGCCGCTCCGTCTTTCTACTCCGCGGCTTGGCTAGAGAATCAATACGTTCATATTCCGGAACATCGTAGAGCAAGTACATTAATGTACGAGTGAACAGGATTTCTCGAACACTTATCTCTTATCAGATAGTTCCTGATCATTCACCTCTCGACTTCTTATAGTTGCAGTACGAATTTCTGAAGTCCCATGGTCCGGACATTACCAATGTCCTAACGGTAGGCTATCTGTCATATCTTGGTCAGCCTAGTAGACCTGAGCAGAGAGAAAGTTCGAGGAGCTCGAGTTATTATCTGATATTTCAGTGCTTTTGAAAGAGAGTATTAAATTCCTGTTATATAAGCCTCGTAGTAAACTCGAGCTCGACTTATAATGCTGTGTTTAAACTCCATAGTTTTCGAGTTGAGGAACGGATAAAACCAATAAGCAGCACTCAAAACGGTCAAAAGTAATTGTTTTGCACCCGAAAATTACTTTTTAGTGTAATCCAGTGGCCCCTGACTCACAAACATATAACACCTATCTCTTTCGGCCATCCAAAGCAATTGCGCACAAGAATAGCGCGTGACTTCCTGGTAATTGGTGTACATGAACGAGAATTCAGTGGAACAGAAAGATCGCTGCCCCATAATTGTCTATAATTGACACCACACCAGAAGTTACTGAATTCGCAATCAGATCCACTGTATAGCCTATGAAGATCAACGTCCAGCAATCTATTTGCTGATGAAACCATTGCAAGAAGGCGTTCACCCTTGAGCACGTGACCCAAGTTGGAAGCTCACTTGCGGCGATTTTTCGCTTCGATTCAAATAGCCCCTTTATAAGGACCCCCACTCAGCAACTGGTCAAAGTTGCAAGTGACCTACGCCGTATAGAGGCCCAGAACGAAGCAGATTCCAAAGATTTCTTTTCACTCGTTTTTACCTTTCCTGGAAGCGCGCAGCGAAAATGAAGCACACTTTTCAGGTCCTTGCATGAGCCCCTACAATATGCAAAAAACCGTTTTCGAAAAGCGCACCACGCCCTGAACGACCTCCCTTGTCACGGTATAGCATCGTAATGTGTGGAATGGAGGCGTCATTACGACTCCCACCCCTTCCGAAAAGATTCTGGTACGACCGCCCTTTCCTACCCTAATTGCTTCGGCAAGAACGATTAAATGCGTAACAACTCGCAAGCGCTTGTGGCTGCGTTGTGACTCCATGGCAAATTAGAGGCAAGCAAATCTGTTGGCCGGTTAGAAGTCATCGGGGCTTTTCTTGGAAGTGATAGCTTTTTAAGCGCGGGGCTTTTGAGGGAAGGAAGTCGGCATGTTGAAGGAATTTCTCTACTGTTGCTTTTTCTACCTACTCGCAATCTGAATCTTTCCCCGTTCGTGAAATATTCCGGATGGGACCCGCTAGCGGTTCACCACGGACGCGTTCGTGGTGAATCATGCGCGGGATTCCGTGCTCCAGACGACAATAGTTCCTTTCAGACGCGAGCCTGTGCAAAACTAAAGGGCTACAAGGACGCGCAATGTTTCCCCTTCCCAACGAGCTCCACAATGTTCCTAAAGACCATTAGGCTAGAAGACATTTCAGATGGGTCCACTTGAGCGGCATGGGGGTGGTACTTGGCCGCTGGGCAGGGGAAAGTGGGGACGGGGGGGGGGGTAGCAGGGTCGGTGATACCAAACAGCACAAGCGTCATCGCCAAGTATGATGGACGGACGAAAGCTGCAGAGGATTTGGATGTCAGGGAGGCTACATTATATGATACATTAGGAATAGCAATGATTAGCAACAACTCGTAAGTACGTAGATGACTAAATAATACATCTCAAACAGATTCGTGCGTATCGACCTTTCCAAACCCTAAACAAACATCTGCTTGCATGGACAAAAATCACCTAAAATCAGAAGTTACACCTTTCCACCATCTCTGCGCAGAAGCGTAATGCACGGCGCACACTCGGACCAGGTCAACAGATGGTAACCAAATTACACGTTGATATTGAAATTCGTGAATGAATGTTTGTAAAACGGCCCAGAAGGAGTGGAGCTCTTAAATGGCTCAGAATGTCGCACAAGGGTGACTCATCCTGATGGCCTTTTAGTTTTGCATAAGATCGCGTTTTAAGGGAGTTGGTCTCAAGCATAAAACCCGCTCACGTTTTACCACTAACGCGCCCGTAACCCATCCGAAATTTCATGAACGGGAGAAGATTCAGAGTGCGAGCAGCTAGAAGACGCAACAGTAGAGACTGCTTCAACACGCCGCCTTCCATTTCTCAAAAGTCCCGCGCCTAAAAAGCTATCACCCCTTACTTTAGATAGAGGTCTTCGACTCAAACCCGGCCAACACTCCGCCACTAATCTGCCGAGGAATCACAACGCGGCCAGAAGTGCTTGCGAGCCGTTACGTATCTAATCGTTCTTGTAAGAGCAAGCGATTAGAGTCTTGAAGAGGGTCCGTAACAGGATCCTTTTCAAGACTCTAAAGGGGAGGGGGGGGTCGTAATGACACCGCCATTTCATCACACATCACGATGCTGTACCCTGTGTATATAGCAGGAGCTGCTAAATGGCGCGTGCGTGAAGGAAAAAAACAAAAGCGCTCTTAATAAGACCCCTTCACCTCCGAGCATTTTACGAGTGTGAAGCGAAGAGGGGAGGTGTTCGATCTAATTTTTGCACGATGATATCGATGAGATACCACTTCTCCTTCCCTCTCACATCCCTTTTACCACTGGGATCTTTATCATCTCCTCTCCTGTCGCACTTCGCGCGGTTGTAAAGTGGGCGGAAACCTCGCGCATATGGTGAAGGGCACCCTTCGATACAAGTCCCCAGCGCTCTTCCCCACTATATTAAAAGAAGAAGCACCTCCTAGCTGGATAAGAGCCTGCGCATCCTATTAGAAGAAGAAGAACGTCTAGAATGATTGTACACTGTG